CGAGATGACAGGCGCAGCTTCCTTTAACATTCGGTTAGAAATTCCAGGTGCACAGCCTTTGGAAGTATCCAGTTTAGAAAGTAATTCGAAAACTTCTAAATCATAAATTTTGAACGATGACATGACGTGATGCTGTGATATTTGATTGAAACGAATATCCAACTGAGTTAATGTTCTGTTTTCTCTTAGCATTTTACATATGTTGTCTACACAGTTGTTTGATAGTCGATTACCATACAGGATTAATTCTTTTAATGTTATGTTAAGTCCAGATAAAACATCAAATAAATGACGAACACCTTCATCAGTTATTCGATTTCCACCTAAACTTAGTGTGGCAAGAGTCTTGTTATATCTCAACAAATTGGCGATGGCCTCTGCCGCCTGATCTGACATTTGATTGTCATACAAAAAAATTTCTCTCAAACTTGTGTTCTTATTTAAATATTCACATAAAATTTGGACTCCATCATCTGTAATACCGTTGACACCTAAATCTAATTTCAACCACTGTCGATTTTTTCTCAACTCCTCTCCCACTATCCACGTATCATTATTATTTAATCCTTTAATGTTCTGTTCAGTTATATTGTAATTATTTGCACCAGTGGTTTCCGAAAAACATTGGACAAAAAAGCTGATTGTAACTATACAATAGATATCAACCATCTCCTTCCCAGAAATATGACTAAGTAATATTGAACATCCTTATTTTTCAAGGCTTGAATCACTCTGGCATATTATTTTGGGTGTTTGCGCCACTTTGTTTGGGTGTTAGTGAGTGTTAGCGTATTTTAGTAATACCCCAAAAATACAGCTATATATACATATCACCGAAAGTCCGAGAAAGGATTAGAAAAGGATCTAATGACGTCAGAAGAACTGGCCAGAACATGACATCATTAGGTCATGACGTACAAAGAAGAATAGGAAAGAATATGTCATTTACTACTGACCGGGCTAATGACATTAGTAGATAGGACATAAGATGACGTCATGACGTCAGAAGAATAAGAAAGAAGAATAAACATATGATCTCCATACGTCATCATATCATAACATGTAATGTGAACAAAATCGAATACAGTAAAGTATCTCGCGTAAGAAAAGAACTATTACTTAACATCTCCTAACACACCTCCCACCGTACGAGAGGAAGGCTCCCGCTCATCTCAAAAACAAAACAGCCAAACAACGTCTACCAAAAATGTGTGTAAAAATGGTTTTGATTGTGTCTTGGCTATAATCTAATAAAAAACTACCACCATCTAATTGTATCCGACTATGTCCATTAAATTATGATTGTGGGATAGCTGCGTATTGATACTGATGGTTAATCGATGACTCGAATCGTTGATACATGTACTTGGTCTTCATGAGTAAAAAATTCGGTTAATACATCGTTGCAACAATCTTTTTCAATAGATATCTGTCCATCAATCACTTTTTCAGTTATATCCAGTTCTTTTCAAATTCCTGTTGCATTGTTGCTCTTGGATCTTCAATATACATTAGTAGCTAGTTTATTTCATCCGATGTGTTTCCTCCTGTTCGCCCCACTTTCATATCACATTGATCAATTAACCAAGTGCGATTTACCTCACCATATTTACTGTCAACAACGTTACCGATCATTGTTGCTACTTTTTCTCGCACACTGTCCATCAATGATACTTCCAGTTTTTCAGTAACAGTAATAGCAAAATCTTTATATTTTGTGGCCGCTGTTACTACCACTATAAAAAGAGATTTAGAAGATTTCTTTTTTCTTTTTCCATTGTTTCTAGTTACTTATCAAAGTGTGTTTTTTCTTCAAGATAATGAAGTCGTGTTAATAAAATGGGGATACTCAAATGCAAGAAGGATTTGAAGGATTTTGAAAGCGATATATTAAGCAAACTTAACTCACGATCAGTTGTCTTTACTAAAGTTTTTATTATTCCAATTAAAGCAATATCAATTGTACGAATTGTTGCTTGAATTTCTTCCATAGATAGTCTGAATAATTCGTGGTAAATCTTTTCTTGCGATATTGCTTTCGCTGGATCATTGCTTATTTCGTTTCGCATGTGACATCGAAAGGCTAATGCAACCTCAACAATCATCGGTGCAGCGTTTGATCTTAATGATAAGAACGATGTAAAATATTTCTCAGGAGCGGCAACACGAATTTTCAAGCACTTTTGAATGCTTTCAGATTGACAAGCAAGATGTTCTTTATGACGATAAATCTCCTCTTCCGTCGTCTTTCGTATACCTTAAATTGTTGTTAAATGGATGTATTTCAACCATACTGTGTTTATCTGGAGAATTTATAAAATGATCTATTATTTTTTTGATAACATTTGACAGCACCCCTTTAATGTTTGTTGTAGCTGGAGTTTTTTGATAGTTGCTTAACTGTTCAGTGAAATCAAGCTTGCCTAACAAGACTTTATAAGCGAATAAATCGTCTTTTTCATAAATATCATAATAACCGTAAACGACTTTACTTGCTTGTACCAAACGTTCTTGTGGATTACATCGGTTATGAATTGTTTGAACAACTTTATTGTACTCGTCTTCAAATGACCTACGAGCATCTTGGTCGCTCATGATTTATTCTTTTTTAATTGTATCACTAATAAGAACTTTCAGTGCTTCTTGTCCATCACGAACAAATAGCATCATTTTCTTCTGATGTAGAAAGCGTAAAGCTGCTGTTCGCCATTCATTACATGTTTCATCAACTTGTGCTTTCAAAAATTGTTTAGTACGATCCCGAATTGTTTTCAACTTGTAATAGCATTAATTGGTCTTCTAATTCTTTAAGGAATCTCTCATGAATTTTCTGGAATGTCATTCGAAAATATTCTGATCTCACCTTCTGTTTTTATACTTGAGCAAATAGTAACGACTTGATTTTTATATTGTCAGTTTTTCACGAATACGCTTTGTAATGTTGCCAGGTGCTTCATCTTCGTTTCATTTCTGTTTAATGTCTTTAAACGTTGTAATGTGTCAAATACGGTAAATGATGATATTATTTAGTTCGGCGGATCGGTGTAAGGTGTTGTTCTTGATGTTTCTGCAGATGATGATGTCGCTGTTGATAATGAAGAAGACAGCATTCCTTCGGAGCTTCGTTTAAAACCTAACGTGGCCGAATTTATAATAACTTTACAAAGTTTTTGAGTTTCTTCGATAAATTTCGGCTGTGTCAGCTTAACTGATGGGAGTTTAGTGTCGTTTAAAATATGTTCAACTCTGTATGCATTTGGTAGTGCATGAAATTTATCCAAGCTGATATCAATGTCGTTACCCTTGATGTCCGCTATCATATTTTCGATGCCTGTTTTATGGTTTTCAATATTTGGATCAGCCTGTTGATTTAAAACAAAATGTAGCATCGGCTGTAGTATTTTGTTTACACCCAGTTCCTTAAGCGTGTCGACCGATAAACCGAGCATATTTTTGAACAGGTGGTTTATGTCGCCCGTACGTTGATAATCAATAAATGTGATACAGCTAAACAAACAACATTAGTTGACGATCATATTCAGTATAAGCTCCTTGTGTCCCCATAAAACCAGATGCAACAAAATCATAATAACACTGCACCATAGTGTTTCTTGTCATATTGTCGCTGGAGTAATCGTCACACACAATTGCATACGCCAAAGAACTTCGAGTGACAATAGTTTCTCAACTGACAAATAATTAGCCAATTCACTTGTTTGATTTGTGATGCTTCTCTGACGTTTCAAGTTAGATGATAATAAGTCTAAACGCAATTAACCATTCGTTGATTGAAATAGTTGTAAACAACTCAGAAGTTTGTCCACATTCTTTGCTGTGTTGAGTTTTTGCTGTTATGGCATTTGGACCGAAGTCATTTTTCTCAATGTATTCAAATTTATATTCTTTATTCGAGTTGAATAATTTTAGTCGTGTTTTCCCATATACCGTTGCATTATGTTTCGCAGCTTTTGTATCTTGTCAACATTTTCGATATCATTATATGCCGCAACGTTCGGCAGCATGAATGTGTGCAGTGAGCTGGAGTTAATTTTTTCGACATTTGCCAACATTGTTGGTTCTTGTAAATTTTCGCACTCGCATGTAACATCACGTAAGATAATAATAGGAAACTTTGTCGTAGGTAATAATTCGATAAATTCTTGTACGAGGTTTGAGTTTTGTGCAAAAAACGTTTGTTGCACATTGAGTAGGTAGCCGTCAAATAATGGAAGAATTTTGCTAAGAAGAAAAATTGTATCCAAAAGTCTGCGTCAATTGTTTGTTAAAAATTTTGGCTGCCTTTAGTTGTTTGCTCGAATGATGCCAAAAACAGTTGGTTCAACCATGTAGATTTTCCTGAACATGGATCAATACCAAATGATAACAGCGTTGGCGTTTCTTAATCCCATAGATGGATGATATCGGACATGAATTCAAGTCACTGATCACTGTCACTTCTACGCATGAGTGTTGGTTGTAACAATCGTACAAGATCTTGTTTACTAAGCAATAATGTAATTATTCAGCAACGAAAGAGATCAGAATTCATAAGTAAAACGTGAATCATCATTCGTTGCGTGATTTTTGGCGAATTAGGACGAGAACAATTCATCCGAAGAATTCAGATACAGTGACTTAAATTTTGTTGGCATGTCAATAAACACATAATTGGTTCAAGACAATTTTTTATCACGTTTGGATAATTTGGATTTGTTTCAAAAGTCGTTGCTAATCTTTCAAACGTGTTTCCAAAAGCTTCGTCGCCGTAAGTTAATTCTTCGACTTGGACTAGATCAGATAATTGAAATTGTCCAGAATGGACGCATTGAAGGAGGATTGTGTGTTCTGAAGGATTGAAGTTATTTATTATTATATTTTAAGTTATTATTTTTCTCGTATCTCCAGCCAGAGAACCTAACTGGTGGCGGTGGTAACACGACGAGTCCACACGTTCGGGGCGATTCTATCGTAGGGCGTGCGGGCGTGCTCATTGATGATCAGGCCACCGCCACCTCACCACCAGAGACGGCCTCTGGTTGCGCTATATATTTATTGCAGGAATCGTTTTATAACAAACGTTTGGTAATTACAAAAAATAGTAGCAACACAAAACTGTCGTTTCTCAATCATAAACAACATCAACTCGCTTCTGTTGAGAATCGTTGAACTCGATGATTCAGCCAATCGACGACATAGAGATTGCCATGTCGATCGAATGACAAAGCCATGGGACAGTTAAACTGGTTTGCTTCTTGCCCTTCACCGTTTCCACCAACAATGACATTTCCTTGTGTCGCTCCGTTGCACCAACGCACCACTCGATGATTCTCAGAGTCTGCCACGTAGAGTGTGCCCAACGGATCGACGAACACTCCGTTCGCAGTCGACAATTGGGTCAGAAAAGACCCTTTGCCTCGACCACCAGCGGCCACAATCCCTTCTGTCGCACCCTTGACCCACTTCATCACACGATGATTGTTGCCGTCCAACACGTAGACAGAATGATTTCGATCGACAAAGACGCACCTAGGAGAGTTGAGTTGATCGAGACGATCACCTTTTCCATTGCCACCCGCCACCACTTTTCCATTCGTCTCTCCCACACGATCGACATCCCCCATTCGTCCCATTCGTCTCACTTGATCCTTTTCATATTCGCAGATGTAGAGAAATCTCTCATCATCCATTGTCAAGCTATAACAATCGATATTGTCTATGATGGTTTCTCCACTTGTTCGACTTCGACGAGACCATCGCATCACTCGTCGGTTTCCCGTATCGCAGATGATGAGACTGTCTGTCTCTTTGTCGACAATCACACTTAATGGTCTACTCAACTGATCAGTTCGATTTCCTTGTCCATTGCCACCGGCCACCACTTGAATACTCGTGGCATTAGGCTTCCATTCCACAATACGGTGATTGCATTGATCAGCGATCACGACAGTTTGATCATCATCCACATAGAGACCGTAAGGGTAATAAAGTTGGTTGGATGCATTGCCTATTCCGTGACCTCCAGTGATGGTGATACCGTTCTGTGTCCATCTGGCACTGAGAGGCATGTTTGGGAGAGCTGCGATGAAGGCGAGAAAGAAATATGAGTGTTGTTGATTATTAGCGAGCTGGACTGAGAGTAAGTGTAGAGTTCGACGAGAACGGTTTTACCGCATTTTCTCTCAAAACACGTTTTTTGTCTAACTTCGCTCACTGTAGATCCCTTTTCTTAATAATGGTTCATCATAGAGAGATGATCTTTTTTAACCGAAAGAGAATAAAATTCTGCGAGGACTGATGGAAGCAGACTTTTGATTTAGGCCTTATTCCATAGACAAAACGGAACTTTGGAAAAGTTGAAAGGATCTTTCAGGTTTTTTAGGATCTTGAGACTCTGGATAACCAACAAAGACCTAATTAAAAAATCTGATCCCATCCGTCCTCGTAGTTAGGTGTCTGGTTTAAAATAAAACCAACCTAATATCTCTGTCTTGAGCTGTATAAAAGAAAACGGATTTACTGTGAAGGGTGGTTTTTCGCCTTGGACGCTTGAAAACTCCGGAACAGTAAGAGTTAGAGAGCTAAAAGAAATACTGGGATCACACTTTTGAGCTGGCAGCATTTCTGGAAAGTTTCATCAAAATCGGATATAGATCAAAATCGGAACAGATTCTACTCCGAGGAAGGTTGCCCCTTAAGAGAAGTTCTATGAGAACATCGAGGATCACGCCAGGAACCGTGACAATCAAGTTTTACTTTTTCAATTTGACATACGCATCTGGATCAGCGATGTCTACAACATATAAACCCAAATTTTTAGCGTCTTCGGTTGAGTTGTTAAAAGTTAGCCCTACCCAACTTTTCAGTACTCCTCCACTCCCATGAAAAATTGCTCCTGAAAAGTTGAGTCATCTAGCCCCACAACATATCAACCAAATAGTTAGTACAATATACGAGGAGATAGAGCGTCAAAAACTGAACAAAAGCAACCATTTAGATATTCTATATCATGTACTGGTCATTTTATTTATCCAACACTGGCCGACACTAGTCATTTTTTAGGATAAAAAAACGATTCAAAATTTTGACCGTAAACAAATGTTGCACTACGGAATATTACGTGCCAAAGCGGTCATCGATTCTTGTAAATTAGTTAACTTTCCTTCACGCTGACTTCGTCAGAAAGGGCACAGCTGTTTGCTTGAAACGTTGGGAGCTTTCTAGATATCACGACACTATAAGCGAAGATGTGGCAACGAATGATCTCGCATGGGCACAAATTTCTCATTGCTGGGGAAAACGGAAAATGACCATTCATTGGAGAAAACAATAGGGCGCCTATATTTCTCCGCTCTTTCGGTTTCAGTGAACTCTGCTTGATCGGAGTGCACAAATCAGTTTGTTCGTGAGGAATGTCTCGACTTCTGTAAGAAAAACTATTTCACGTCAGTGTGTTGGCTGTCGACGAGTCAGGATCCCATTGATCCCCGGCGGTCAGAAAACGGCAATGCATGTGTTCAAACACGTTACACGTGCAAAATGATCGTTCACATACATTTATATAGGAAAACTGTTGAAATTCACCCTTACATACCAAAAACAATACTACCGATAACAACGAGTCGATTGCACAACTTCAATCTTTGTACAGAATATAGACACAGAATAGCGGATTTAGCTTTGCAATTTACTGCAAAGCTAAGTTCAAGTCCACGTCTCCTCTCGTGATTGTAGGCTATGTTTACAAACATTTCAGGGGACGAGGACATCATTTTATTCAAGTGAGATTTGTCGGTGGCTTCGTTTTTTTGGTCAGTAGAAGTATGTGATATTTGTAATTAAAGATTAAAACATTACAGGGTGTCCCAAAAGTCACTACCCAATAAATGTTTTTAATAACTCCGCCATTTCTTAACCAAGCTTCAAGGTTGTCTTTTTGTTTGATAGAGAAACGTTCGAAGTTTTATTTCATACAATCGAAAATTTTTGTGTAGAAAAAGATCTTAATCTCAACTTACAACGTATGTTTTCTGTGTAAGTGCTTGTAATAGTGCGTAAAGGTTGTTCAGCTTGTCGTAATTGAATGGAATCTTTGTCAGAGTCGCATTACGTCTCATTTTGTAGAACTCAGATTGCTCTACGATCCCGCATATTCAAATGTTTTGTTTGGCTTAAAGTTTTGCCACAAGAAGGTAATTTCTCCATATTGCCATGGTCTACGGACTGCGGCTTCTGCAATAGCCTGATACAACTCTCTGCAGGCTCTCGAACTATTCCAGTTTATAGGACTGATCTGATAGGTAAGTTGTATCAGGCTGCTGCAGAAGCCGCAGTCCGTAGATCATGGCAATATGGAGAAATTACCTTCTTGTGGCAAAACTTTAAGCCAAACAAAACATTTGAATATGCGGGATTGTAGAGCAATCTGAGTTCTACAAAATGAGACGTAATGCGACTCTGACAAAGATTCCATTCAATTACGACAAGCTGAACAACCTTTACGCACTATTACAAGCACTTACACAGAAAGTTTACATATTTTTTACGAAACTTTTATTTTTACCAAATAGTCATTGGTGATTAACAAATGAATGATCGCTAATGAGCTATAAACGGCTATATGATCGAATCATTGATTGACAAAGTGGACTAACTTCTAGCAAAGTGTGCACGGCGAACTAAAATCACCTTGCGGAAAACTATTCAAATCAATTTATAGTAACTATGAGAAGCCTCGAGTCCAAAATGAGATGATAACTTCGTTCGATCGACCATTCGGTCTGATGTGAAAATATCGACTTCGATCGTTATCGGTTTTTTATACTGACTTATCATGTACTGTAGAAGAAACCCAATCACTGGTAAGAAAAATACAGATAACTGTATAAAACGACGTCTATCACCGTCAAGCTGTAAGATATTTTTACTTTCATTCAATAACACAGTAGAAACCTTTTTTCTTAAATAATATCATGTATGTGAATAATCAACATAGCGTCGTTTCCTCATATCTGAAGTGACAAATAGAAACATGAGAGTATGGGGATGAAGCAAGTAATCGACATGCATTGTCCGAAAACATTTTTTTAACAAAATTAACTGTTACAATCATTTAATACCGGCGAAAGGAGGAGCTGAAAAACTGAAAAGAAAACTTGAAATAAGCCGGTGGAAAACTGGTAGAAATCGGTCAGTTAAAAGGTTGAACCAGATAGGTTACAACTTTGTAGTTGTCTTTGTTAAGATGAACTAGACCCTCTAAATCTCCTTGTTCAAAGTGCAGTATAAGTCTTATTCAAGGTGTGAGGGTGTGAAAGTGAAATACGTTTCTGAGAAACTCTTGGAAATCAAATAGCGTTGCAAAACATGTTTCAGCGTATGGAAAATTTCGGAAACTGTAAATGTTTACAAAAAACTTTTAGAAATGGAAAAGGGTATCCTCGGATTCCGATTTGGTTTTCAAACCAATTTTATATAGAATAATGGTTTACAAAAGAAATCATATTTGCATTCGGAAGAGTTGAGTTTTCTGACAAAATGATACTAGAGAGCATACATTATACCGTAGACTCTGTCAAACCTGTCTATTCAACGAGGTGAAGCGGGTGTGATCACAACTTACTATCTTTCACTTCTTTTTGTTGGTGGGAACCTTCGCGCACTATGATCTTTTGTATCCACGATGGATGTTGTTTGTCTACATCAACATGGACGTTCGACGGTTCGATAAGTTCATCTTTTAGTTGCTTTAATTGGTTTATCCATACCTCGAGGTGTCTTTCATCATAATCTTCCTCGTTTTGAGCGTCACAAATCGTTTTAGTTATTTTGCGAAATCTGTCAGCAAGTTGGTTCTTGTTATCATCTATCAGTTTGACAATGTCAGTCCGACATCGATCAGCAAGTTGATTAATTTTATCAATAGACTCGTTCCTCCAGTTATCAATTTGTTTTAATAAAGAATGGGTTCCATTTTCATTTGACTTTTTGAACTCTTGTTTGAGCATATCATGTTCATAAACAATATTGTCGAGTTCTTTTGATAGATCCTGACGATGATGACTGAAACACCGTGTGCAGAATTTTGTTGAACAGCCTTCGCATGTGCTTGTACCGGAACTTTTTGCACATTTTTTACAGCGAGCTATTGTTGATGCAGTTGCCATGTGTAGTGAAATAGTTGTCGAAAAAACACACTCTGTCAAGAATAAAATATCTCTATTTAGTGAGAGATAACAGCACGAAAGCCTCAGTTTAGTGTTGTAACCGGATCGGTAAATCGATGCTAGATCGGCCGGTTGGCCAGTAACCGATCCGATCCGATTAAATTTTTCAATAGGCCGGTATTCACCGATATTTTACCGGTTTGTTTTTTGGAAAAAAGTTTTTCGGATGTTTTTTCGTCAGAAAAACATGAAAAACATAGAAAAGATTTCTAATTGAAACGGTAGCCAGTACAAAACTTTAACCTGGTACCTGAAGTCAGTATGTTTTTAACAAACTTTCTTTAGTATTTTCTGTTTTGACGGTTAGTTCTCGTTTGGTCGAAAACTCACCTGGATATCGCTATGGACGCCTTTAAAATTCTTTGAAGTATATACTTTTACACTTACTACTTTTCGAAAAACTTCGAAAAATCACCGATTTTTTTATCTGATCCTTTTTTACCGATCTGATGCTGATTGCTGATCGGCCGATCCGATCCGATACCAATTTTTCAATCGGTTATAAATCTGAGACTCAGCTTGTGCTGGTAATATCAAATGTATGACAAAGGTTTCTGTGTCACTCACCTCTCCGTTTAAATATAAAAACTTGTATGTTCGACACTGACTGAGAACAAAGTAAAATTCTTTTTCTTCTGTCACGATGACAACTATCCTCCTGAGAAAAAAGAAAAAACAACACGTTCACCTTTTTTACATGTTTCATGTCAAAATAAGTACAATAAATACACAATAGAAGCTCTCTGTTAATGAAAGCACTGTCTAGTTTAGCTTTTGCTTCAACGCTAACAAAATTTAAAGCATGCGCGTTCATTGAATAAAAGCTCTGACTTATCATCGTT